CACTGTCTGGAACTCTAACGAACAGGCGCGTCGTACTCTGGGGAAGCTCTAGCAGGGCTCGTATCTGGTAACTGGAGAGGGGTCGGATTCGGCCCGAGACAATTTTTGATAGTTGATTTCCCGTACTCCCATTGAGGGTCTGTATCTGCTCGTCGTTTCAAGGGGGGGGGGTCGCATTTGGCCTCACGAAAATTCTACTGGTGCGCGAATTTTTTCACTTGTTGACTTTTCTCGGTTTTTCCGTCTCACTGTCCTATAGGTCCATCTCATCAACCGATAGCAATTTCTTGTTGGAAACTGGAAATTTTCGGGAAAAGTGTAAGCCCAGGGGACTTAAGCTATTATGGGAACACTGTAGCTTGATCGTTCGATGACCGCGAGTGATGTTTTGGTTTCAGCGAGCGCGAGGCGAGCCGAGGGACGACGAGCAGAAGCGACGGAGGAGCGACTGGCGGACGGCTGGACGGCAGGCGGCAGCGACGCGACCCGAGATCGACTCACCGGACGACTTCCACCAGGACTCTCGATATGGTCGGCTGTCAGTAAAGCTGCTCATTATTCTGTGTATTCGATCCACTACAGCACACTCACTAAAGTGAGGAAAATTCGAAGTAGTGATAATGTGGAAACATGGTAATATGGGGAAGAGGGTTCGTTCCATAGAGAGTTCAGGTGGGGAGGTCCTATTTTGCTAAAATTTTACCCAGTGACAGAATGTACTCTCAACGGACCGTTGCTAATCGAAAACAACGTGTAGGCCTTACAAGAGGACTTATGTTCTAATCTGTTTGAATAAACTGCAATATTCTCTTGGGCCGCATGTTTGTCGACGAGGCGGGGGCCATTTGTACTACATTGCTTCTCTATATCCGGTTTACAAAAACCGGCACTCTGCGTAAAACTTGTAAACGCTTGAAGCTGGAACTTAAATCGTCTAGCGCCTTCCCGAAACGTGTGTCAACGTCGAGAAAAAAGGCTAACCTAGATGGGGTTCGCACAGTCTACTGGAAAAGCAGAATGCCCCCCCCCGTCCGTCGACAAACTGCGCCATTCTCTTGTCCCACTGTGGATCCGTCAAAAGCAGATGGCACGATAAGTCCATAAGACGAGTAGGACTGTTATAAATTGGCAGCACGGAATTTCCGCAATCCACTAAGCAGCGTAGCTGGCCGCCTTTTTGAAGAAGTACCGATTTTTGAGCGCCCTGAAGCTGCAGGCATATACGGCCATGGACGCCCTACGCGCCAAGCCCACAAACAACCTTACCTGAGCTGATCTTGCTTCATTTCGAAGTCAAATATAGCGAAGGGATCGAACATGGGAGCCGCGCAGCGGCCGTGAGCAGCTTGGAATACATGAATATATGCGTGTAACTACCGTGGCGGTTTTCGGCGGGATGCCTACGGGAAACTCGTCCGAAGTTGGTTGTTGAAGTCAGTTGAAAACGAAGGCCTTTTCGCACAGGTTCTTGAACGTTTTACTTTGTTATTTCGGCGACTTTCCCCACCCCACCCACCCCCCCCCCTTAAATATAGCACCGTCTTGGCACTGTACACCGAGTGCCAAATGATTGGGCCATCTGCCTCTGAGTGCAGTATTCTCAGCAATTACTCTGCCATCACAATAATGTCAGATATTGGCAGGAAACTGAACTCAGCCCGGATGTGAACCATGATTTCACGCTCACTGAGCCAGTGTGACCACAAAATTGTCGAGGCAGCCTTCTATTCTCTCATCCTGAAGACTTTTAATTTGATACACGCCTTGTAAGTGTGGATCCAGGTTAGGTCCTAGGTGGGGTTTGGCTTTTTGCATTATTTTACCAAGATGACTTTCACCTCGAGAGCTCAACTATAAACAGTCATCAAAGGAAAAACTTTTCCGATTGAGAAACTGGTCCACACAGCTTCTCAACAATTCCAACTTTACTCTAACTAATCTAAGTTTAAGCTACCCGATCCTGTAATCTGGCAAGTAATCATCGTTTCCGTGTCGAAGGGTGCTCACGAATTCAGGAACCAAACTGCTCCCGAGAACTTCTGTATTATCAACTGCTGATATGGGCTGTACATAGTTACCGTAATAAAATAAAATCCTGACGGTCAGCCGAGAATAAAATTCCGTGATCGTAGATGGCTTGGTTTTTCGCCAGTTCTCCGCGCATGCAATGCGAAAGCGAGGTGAAACGTGATGAAAAAATACATATGATGGAATACAAATACCCATAATGCAGGTCCTTCTACAGTCGTATTCTGTATAGAATGTGTTCCGCCCTCCACCACATCCTTCGTATAGATAAGAGAAACATTGTTGGAATTCAGGATCAAAGTAATACTGAAAGAGAAAACAATTAGTTCACCTCATTAGGACTCATTAAAAGGAGTTGTGTAGTGAAAAAAGAAGTAATTGTGTTCCGTTTCTGATCTAATCTTTATTCGGAATAATTGAAAAACCACTTTGATTTTTTTATGAGATTTTGAAGTTACTGTAGTTGGCAGTAACCAACTACAGTAACTCCAAAATCTCATGAAAAAATCACCAAAACTCTGTCTATAGGGCTGCCCTGATCAAGGAAGTGACATTCTTTTCTGGCGGCATCTGGCTCCACCACCTTTTTCACGAAAGTCCATATTTATAATACTACTGAGATGTATAGGCGCGGCTGCGTACTTTAACTAAACGTGGCAGTGCTGGGTTTTGGAAGAGTCATTTTCTTTTGACACAATTGTGGTCTTGTCTCTGACCAACACAGATGAAGATGCCAGTTGCCTCAGACCTAAAAATTCCACGAGTAACCCATCCTGTGAAATGTTCAAGTGCCACGCCTACTCCGTCTCGGGGATGAGGAGTGTATTTGTATACTGGCGTTATGTAACGTCCCTATCGCACTTCGTATTCGGCGCCGGTCCAAAAGAATTGCACGCTCAACAGGTGTGTTGATTGAACTGTGAAGTAGAGCGAACTCACTCTGATTGTGTTGTTTGGTTCAGGACAACAGGCATCACCTCGATCCATCGTCGTTAAGCATGTCTCATAAGTGTTCTCGGGAACGTGCGGTTCATCTAAGGAAATAACGGCGACGCTAACTCCAAAGAAGAGTGCTGTTAAGGTCAAGTGGAGGAACATCTGAAATATGTAGATATATGTGGTATGTTAATTTTACATGGGATTAAAAACTCCAATCCGACGAAAAAAATGCTCTTGGACTTCAAAAACTAGTTGGGAACGTGCATGGATCGAATCGCTGCAGTATCCTGAAAGCGTTAATGTACAGTCGTCATCCGGTGACTTGATTTGGGCGGCAAGGGACGCGACGCGGCTGCGGTGTGTTGCGAGCGCGGCGATCAGCTGTTTCCAGCCTATTTTAGCCATTTTCTCCCTAGTTTACGCTGTTTTGGCTGCTTTTCTCACGATTATTTTCTATTTTTTTGAGGTTAGTTGTTCTATCGTCTTTATGAAGTATATTAGGACGAGGAGTGTTTTCTTTTGTTTTGCAATAGAGTGTTTTTGCGATTTTTTTTCAGCTATTTGTTCAATTGTCTGCTTAACTGTTTAATTACTGGAAGCAGCTGACCGCCGCGCTCGCAACACACCGCAGCCGCGTCGCATCCCTAACCGCCCTAATCAACTCACCGGATGACGACTGTAACAACCATACCATCCCTGTCGGAATTTTGCGTTATTAACACTTAACTGCTTCACTATTCAAAATCAGCCTTATCTCTCGCTCGGGTAGATTTGGGTAGAATTTTGACTCTGAGGGTCGTTTCCCTCCAAATGCGGGGCCAAACTATCCTTACACGGAAGTCCTCTTGACCTATAGCTTCCTGCGCTCGTTGATAAAACACCTCGAAACATCAAAGTTGTTAAAAGCGTCTTCTCCCATGCCCAAAGGACTGATTTGATTCATCGAATATCATAACTGGTTTTCGTAAAAGAAAGCCTAGTACGAACAGCGGCACCCATGCCTCGACTTCTTAGGTGGTTGCGCTCGCGCGCAACGAGTACCTCCCAAGTCTAGCTCAGGAGAGAATCCGGTCCGAATTTCAAAGAGTGGTAGTGAAAGGGATGTGAGTTTCTCACATTCATTCATTTTAAATTATCTTCACAAAAAATGTCATAAACGAAAGAAGAGGCCGGAAACGCGTCTAACAGGGTTCATAATTCATTTTTAATTGAGAACTGGACGAGCGTGCGCTTAGGACAGATCTTCGCTGTTTAGTCAATGTGGAGACAGTGAAAAAATATAACTTTGAGCTGCCATTAACCCCACGACAGTGTTGAAAAATGTCCCCAACAAAATTAACATCACCGTGATTCTGGTCGGATAAAATAGTAACCTCAAGAACATAAAAACGTTTAAAGCACCAACAGATAAGTGAGCCATTTCCCGCGGGCAACTAGAGCGTGGCTGCGTACTTCATTACGCAGCCACGCCCTATCTGTCTTCGGCATATGGTGTGTAGTCATCTGTTGGGCTCTTTCGTGTGGCATGACTACTGCCATGTCGTCATGAGCTGGACAAATAAAATCTTTGAAACTGAGATTAATGGACTATGTTGTAGAATCTAATAAATGAGAATTATTGAGGGGGGTCGAAAGCAAGGGAAAAGACATGACCACAGTTGTCTAAAATCCGCTAAAAGCGCGACAGACCCACGTTCCAAAGAGACACGCAGCCATCCTCTTCCCGTCTGCGAGATAACGAGTAAACCTTGCAGTTCGCCAAAGAAAGACATTTTGCGACTAAAAAAGCTACCCTTTTGAACGAAGTTCTTGGTGAGGTGAATAAATGCCAATTGACAGTTGATCGCAGGTAAAAGCAGCTGATGGCAACAAATTATTTCCTGATGGGCTGTCGAATGGTATGGCCTGCTGAGACGCTTTGTGGGCGCTGTCTGGTAAAAAACGCGCTACGTAGTGCCCTCTCAGAGAAACTGCGTTTTCCCACAACGAATTTTTAGCCTACGTTAAGTCAAACTGTCATGCTCGCTGTCTTTAACAATTAACATTAACATCTACGCTAATTGTTGGCTATTTTGAGAAAGAAGGAAAAGTCGCTTTGGTGCCTTACTAGTCACTACGAGCAAACGCAGAATCGGCATGGGTGGTTTTGGGGCTTTTTATCAGAAAAACTTCTTAGGAGACGGTGGCTAATTACG